TACTTGTCCAATGTGCCATTTGGGCTACCCAACTTACAACTCTGTCATACACCATATATTTCTAGATAAAAATAGTCTTCTACATTAAGTGTTGCCTACATGAATTGTATAATTTGTTATGTTATGTTTCCCATTTGTATCTCTCATATGCTTCTTTGATATGAAATGAATTAAGATTTAGAGGTACAAGATGAAGAATTTTCTTTTGGGCCTTAAAAGCTTACACATTTGTATTTTCTTAATCAAGGTGCTTAATAGTCTAATTTTATTGACATTCAAATATATTATGTTAAAACTTAACCAAGATTTGTAATAATTAAACGCGATTAATCAAGATTAGTTAAGCTTAATCATACTAAATTAGCTTGAGTAACATTAGAGACTTAGCATTCATTCATTCATTAAGCTAATTACATGATTAGTTGGGTTGAAGTAGGCATCCACCTCAATTATAACCATGCCACCTCCTACTTGGAGGACAGACATCTAAAATAGAGATAATTGTCTCTCTATAGAAAATAAGAGAAAAGTAGGAAAAGAGAGAAAATCTGCTGGGGGAAAGAAGAGCGAAAGAAAAAAGAAGGGGAATGCTAGATTTCTTAACTTAGGTTTATTTTTAGCTTGGTTCAATGAAAAATTCATGCTCTGACATCTCATTATGATCCTTCAATTGGTCAAATTTGAATTGAAAATGGATTTGGGAAGAAAAGATTAAAGAAAACAAGTTTGGAGAATTTTTTCATTCAGATTCAAGCTATTGATTTGAAAAGTCAAAATTTTTTGCATGAAAATGGAATTCATGGAGTTGCCTCTATTTTCTATGACCATAGAATGTCAAATCTCATGTTTTTAGTCCTCACAATTATAATTTCTGAACTTGCAATAGCTTAGAGCTCAAGAAAAAGAGGGTTGAGACTTTTTTTTTGATAAATAATAAATCAAATTTTATTAAGAAGAAAAAAGGGTTAAGACTTGGAACTAGAAGACCACCACTCGAGCGGCCCCGAGACCCCACTTGAGCGGCCAAGTCCTGTGTCACCCGACCAAGGAATGAAAACCACCGCTCGAGTGGAATCAAGAGAAAATCTGCATTTTCCTCATTTCACCTGTTTTAACCTCGTAGGACCATTTCTAACTTTGTTTTAAGACTACAAAGGGGCTCCAATCAAGACTTGAAGCCTTGGCATACCTAGAATAACTTGAGCAAAGAAAAGACTTCACCTATCAAGTTTGTTGTCATAATTTCTCACATGTCTAAATTACGTATCAATGAGTGATGTCTCTTATGCTTTTGTAGGCTGATAAATTTCATGGACAAACCTACTTTAAAGAGTTCAAGGTTAGTAGTGTTTTATCAAAGCTATGTTTTGAACTTCTATTTTAGAGCTCAAACTATGTTATGTTGTGAACTATGTCAAAACATTTCATATGAATGGATATCCCATGCTATTCACGTTTGAAAGTATGAATGACATCTTCGGTTAGTCCCAACTACTAGGCGGCAGTAAATATATTAGTAGCATATGTTCAGATATCTTTACCACATGGTTGTGGGTTTGTTTAATAGGTAGTAGAGCCAATTATTCCTTTGCTTCGTTTAGATGGATATACATTATCCTGTTTTTATTGGGCCTCGGCTCATCCTTTTCTCCTACATGTATGTTGGTGAAAAAGGTGATTAAGGTTTCGTACCCCAGCATTGTATATATGTATATATGATGTAGAGATCTATATGTTTTAATCTTACCAATAGAGAAATGTGTTGTTGATTGAGGCCAAAATGTGTTCCGTTGAGGCCGTTAATTGATATTTCTTAACCCTTCTCTTAATATAACTCGGTACACGTTGGACGTGTCTAAGGTGCGAAATTGGTAAAAAATGTGGAGTTTGGTCATGGAGTCACTCACCGGACATGCGGAGGAGCATTCCCGCACGAGTGGGCTGCCCTTTGTTGAAAAGCCATTCTTCACTGGAGTAATCTGCACACACGGAGGGTTTTTCCCGCACGTGCGGCCCATCTCGAGATACGTGCACGACTTCCAAGTGATCTGTTTTGCTGAGGGAGTATAAGAGGAGGAAAGAAAAGTTGTTTTAGGGTTCGAACATTTTTGTAAAGACCAAGAAGAGGCTAGGGTTTTGAAGCTTTTGGACTTAAAGGTTTGGAGTGCTCCCATGGCAGTTTCACCCTCAACTTCGTCTTCTCAATCCTCCATGAGCGGTTAGTTTTTCCCCTTTTCTAGGGTTTTGATGAAACCCTAACCAAGTAAATAGGTTTTTCTTAGGTTTTGATTTGTGTAATGATTTGAACAAGTTGCATGAATGTTTTAGAAGATTTTTAATACATTTCTATTATTTTCTTTATAGTGTTCTTCTCTCTGTAATTGTTGAATGCTTTCCATACAACCGTTTTCTTTTTGTTCATGTTCAAAGTATGAGACAGTCATGCTACGAAAAACGAGTCATGTTGCCATCCTAGTTTAGAGCGAACGACTCATACTACTTGGGATGATTCGTGCCTGTACGCTGAACGCGACAATCCTCTTGATCAATGTTTGAAGCTTGTAGTTGTGAAGCATTGGGTAGTTCAAACCATAGGCAATTAATTTCCAATTTCAAACCCTATTTGTGTAACTAGTAGTGGATTCATTGCCCTAGGATTTTTCCGCAATTAATTTCTCAACCCTAATATTTATTGTTAATTGAATTTCTAATTTTCCTTCTTATTCTCATTTCAACATAATTCTTATCAACTATTTTCATCAAAATTAATTTAGGAATCTTGCAATTAAAATTAGGCTAGGTTTGGCATCCCCTAAAAAAGTCAAAAAGCCAAAAAGTCAATATCCTAGTTAAATCACATCATCTTATTTAAGTCACGTCACCTCTCTACCACATCACTTCAAACCCAACCCATATTTCATAAAAAGTCAAAAAGTGCACTTATTTAGATCATCCCAAACAACCCCTAGTTTAATTTCACAATTGTCTTTGAGGATTGTTACATGAACTTGCCATTATTCTATAGAATTTATGTATAGTTTAGTCTTTATTTTTTGTGTGCTAAACGACCCACCAATTGTCAAGATATTTGTGTGTAGTTGGTTTTGAAAGACAAGATGTACTTTTCTCTTGTTTGATTTGTATGCCTTTTGTAACTAAGCCAGGATATTGTAACAGAAAATAGTGAAGTGTTTTTCATTTCAATTACTTATGCACTACTCAGAATGAATGTTGTAGAATAAATAATGAATACCCAAACAAAAAAATTTACCCCAAATTCTACAGGGTATCACATGGTTGTTCAATTAGACCTTTGGTAGTCTATGACTACTAACCAGTCACTACTTTATTTCAGTTGAGGTAGGATGTAGTGCCCACCATTTTCCCAGATTTGCCAACCTAACGTGCCTTTGCATGTGTTCCCCATACACCCACACCTTTCCTTTTCACAAGTAAACCTCCACAACCAGTTCCCTAACAAAGCTTGGTTGAAATTACAAGCCACTGAATCCCCTCCTGAAGAGGAGAGCGCACTGATTCCCAGTTGACTGATCAATACTTGAACTCATCACCTATACCACCCCAAAGGAAATCTCTTTGTAGCGTCTCCAACCTCTTGCCAACAGAGACGGAATGGTGAACAACAACATAAAGCGGGTAGGCAAGTGGAATAAGGTACTATCAATCAGCGCCAATCTAGCACCTTTGGATAAGTATTGTCTCTTCCATCCAGCCAATCTCCTATAAAATCTATCAACAAACAAAACCCACATTGATTTTTCCTTAAAAGTAGGTCTCAGAGGTAACCCCAGATAAGTAGATGGCATCAACTCCACCTTACATCCAAGAATATCCATAATATTACAGAAAAAAAAAAAAAAAGGTCTAGCATTCCTAGCTAATCTCGTGGGATTTGTCAACTACAAGAATCTCTCCTTATGTCCATATCCTCCTATGTTGTATACTTACATTCTTTTGGTGCATGTATATGTACATATTGGTCTATGCTTTCATGAGTTTGATTCATATTTCAAATGAAGCTAAATTGGTATAATTTTTAGGGACGAGAACAAAAAAATGCTATTCTTCTGAGGTATTTGATCAATTAAAACATCAATAGCCTTTGTCTTCCACCAACAAAACTTCAAATGATCGATAGCATTTAATAAAGCACCAACTGGATAAGTTTAAATAAAAAGAAAATGCACCTCAGTAGTTAATTTTGGAGCATATGAAGCATAGTGAACAATTAATAGACAATGAAGAAAACAATGACTATCATATGTAATAGGATAAGAATAATTAATGGTTATGGCATAATTACATGAGAAAAGAAAAGTAAATGAATTTGAACGAAGAAATCGCAATTATGAGGTCATGTAATTCATTCAACTTGTGCAATCTATGTCAAAAATAAAACTATAACTGGGTCTAAAAGTAAGATATAACTAGCAAAACACAGCCATAATAGTGATTTTTAGAGGGATTGGGTATCCCCCTTACTCTTTATATTTATAAAAATATATACATATATAAAAAAAAGAAGTTATTACCTACCATTCGTGTTCGGCTAGTGATCAATTTTAGAGGATTTTGTGTGGTTTCTACTGTGCTATGGGTAATTTGATTGGAAAAGAATTCTTGTGAATTCAATAATTTTTTTAGAATCTAAAGATTTAGAAAATTTGTGGGAGAAGTTTGTTTCTTGACCAATTTTTTAGTGTCATTATCTCCTTTATTTCAAAGAGATTCTCCAATTTTTTTTAAGTTATTATTAGTGATTGGAGAGCAATTTGTGACTTGTAGCTTTTGTTTTTTTTTTTGGACGATTGGGAGGATTTATTGCCCTCCTTTGCACTTTTTTTGTACTTTTTCCCTAACTACATACTATCTTAATATAATTTCTTTGACGCTGATCAATAAAAAAAAGAATTGCATAGAAAGAAATTACATAAATACATGAAATCAAATAAAATAAAAGATGCAACCATATGTCATACCTTTACAATGATGGCCACAATTCCTTTTCTTATCTGCTTGGAACAGAACAGGCATGTCAGCCAATATAGCAAACCTAAGTGGTGAACACATTGTCATTCTTCATATACAGAACTTACCATTTCTTGAAGGAGAAATGACTGATCTTGCTTCCATAAATATGCCAGAGAAATGAGCCCTAACCTCGAACATACACTTTCCACCCGTAATCTTTGATAATCAGATGCAATCGCGCCAGAAGATACTGCTGTGATCGAGGGTATTTGTCGTTTTACTTCGTTTAACAAGATGAACAAATCTTCAACTTCATCACCAGCAGTCATAGTGTAGCTCAGGTTATGATGCCTATGAAATTCACATTAACAATTAGAAAGCCAATTTTTTTTCCTTGATAAATAACAATTAGAAAGCCAAATTATGCTTTGAATATGTTGAATCATACTATTAGGAAAGTTTACTTCAAAGAAATCCATGTTTGATGACTATCAGAACTTCAATTCGGCTCAAGTTCAATTTCGTAAGATTCGGGTCAGAAAACATTTGAATTTACATACTAAAAACAACAAATGGATGTGTTAATGCTTGTACAAATAAATACCTCATTTATATGTTTGTAGCTGTATCCCAAGGACATTCCTTGAAGATTGGTGATTTTAGGCCAATTTGCTTAGTCACCTTTTTGTACAAGATTTTGGAAAAAGTTTTATCAAGGAGGCTGACTGTAGTTTTGGGAGATACCATTTCTGCTTCTCAAGGGGTTTTTGTAGAGTGACAACAAATTTCTAATGTGGCCTTGATAGCAAATGAGATGATGGAAGGATATAGACACATTTTGGACGTGGCTTTGACAACAAATGAGGTGTTGGAAGGATATAGAAGAACAATAAGGAAGGCATTCTCTTTAAGGTGGATTTTGAAAAGGTATACAATCATATGGAGTGAGGACTTTTTAATTTCGTAATGCAAAAGAAATGATTTGAAGATAGAAGGAGAAAGAGGGTTCATAGTTGTCTGTCCACTTGTAATTTATCAAATATTTATTAATGGTAAGGCGAACAGTGTCCTTAAGGTCTCAGGCAAGGTGACCCACTATCACCTTTCGGTTCACCTAAGAACTATCGATGTTTTGTGTAGGATCAAACTGACTTATGAGCTTGAGTGTCACGACCCATTGAGTTGCCTACACAAAATTCCCACTAGAGAAGGGCTAGAACATTGGAGGCTAACGAAAGAATCCGAAACATCCCGAAAGGCTTGAGAGAATCCAAGAATATTATATATAATTCTAAAACTTGTATAGAACACTCTAAACTAGATTCTAGATAGTTCTAGGAAGGTGAGCGGAAGGCTCCATAAGGATTCCACACACCATACTAATTGTATATTCTAGAATAATCGTAGAAGGCTATGATGCCTATATAAAGGGGAGGCATCATTCAGACAAACCATCCAAAGGGAGTGTAAAATTCCTTGTGTATGCAAAGCTTTCCTATCTCTCTTCCAAGTAGGCTGACTTAGGTGCAAACCAAGCAAGTTAACAAGCATCTAAGGCCACATGATTGGCTTGGAAAAACCAAGGTCGTGACAATAAAGTAAACATGAACAAAAGCACTTTAGTGGGAAACAACTTCCAACAGGGCAGATTGCAAAGGTTGGCCTAACTATTAGGAATGCTTCATTGAGTCCTTGTCCCTGAAATACTTGGGGTTACCTTTGGGAAATCCTAGGTGAGAAAATTTTAGAAATTTTTGTTACTGAGAAAATAGAAAAGAAATTGGAAAGGGCATTGATATCTAGGGGAGGATGATTACCTCGCTTCAGTCATTATATGATTTGATCTAGTATACCTATTTACTATTTACCTCTATTTAGAGTTTCGGTGAGGGTAGCCAATAAGATTGAAAAAAATCAAAGAGTTTTTGTGGGAAGGTAGTGAAGAGGGGAAGAAAGAACATTTGATTGGTAGGGATTTGGTTTTTTTTTCAAAGAACAAGAGGATCTTCATGTGAGAAATATTGTTGCTAAGGATAAGGCTTTGCCTCTAGTTCAAAAAAAAAAAAAAAAAAAAAAGAAAAAAAAGAGTAAGGCTTTGCTTGGAAAGTGGTTATAAAGATTTCAATATGAGTGTGAACCCTTGTGCTACTAATTCTATTATGTTAGTAAGAATAGGTATAGGACCCTAAGGGATGGATTCTCATGTGGTTACTTGGGATAATTCTTATGAAAGTACATTTCTTTCTTACTTTTCTCAAATTTTTCATTGTCATGGGAAATGGAGATAACATGTGCTTTTGCAAAGATGTTTGGATAGGGGGAGGCTTCTTTAGATCATTTGTTCCCTCAATTATATGTTCTTGACATGTCTCTATTGTTTTGATGGCATAATCGTATTTGGCCTATCTCTTGAAATTTCAATTTCTTCAGAAATCTTAACGATTGTCAGCCTAATGAATTGGTTTCACCATTATCTATCCTTGCCGGTGTTTCTTTGAGGCGTATTTATAAAAGTTTGTGGACTATTCTTTTGATGGCATCTTCTTACTTGGCCCCAATCTCTACAAGTTTCGATTTCCTAAGAAATGTTAATAATTGTGTTCTGAGGCTAGTGAATTGATTTCACAGCACTATCTATTATTGGCAGTGTTTCTTTGAGACGTATTTTTTAAAGTGCGGGCACTATTCATTCTTCACTTTTATTTTCTTGTGAGTCCTACTTTTGAAAAGATTGTTGATAATCCAGACAAATCACTTTTTGTTCCCCATAAGATAAATTGGAATGCATATGTACCACTCCAAGTTAAGCATTTGTTTGGTTTTTAGCTCATCGGAAGCTCGATATCAATTACATGATTTAGAGACAGCCACCAAGTTTTTTTTTTTCGATGAGCAACAAAAAAACAAGAGTCCGAAGAGAAAATCAAGGGTGCAAGTCAACTAAAAATTGATGATTAAAGCAAAATTATACATCATGCATAAGTCACCAATCCCTACCAATTAGATACTTCAATCTCAACTAATCACATACAGAGGAATTCCTTTGAGGGAGAAGACACTGATACCCAAAAAATGCCAAAAACCAAAAAGCACGGATAAGGACATTCACAGAATATAGGATGTAATAATTTCAAAAAAAAAAAATCAAGCTTCAAACACAGTGATGACAGAACATTTAAAAAAATAAAATAAAATAAAATAAAAAACTTTTCATATATCTTTATTTACTATGTATATGAATATTAGAACCAAATAATCAAAATAAAAAAATAAAAAACTAACATCAATTCAACATGAAATAACCACTCAATCTATAATTTAAGCTTTATTCAATACAAAAATAATAGTTTATCAATCATAAACCATGAAATCAAAGTTGTATTTACCTTCATCAACATCAGAATTTGTGTATGTGATACTAATACAAGAAGACAAGTTTTCCTATAATCACTATTAAGTAACCAAAAAAAAAAAACCACTTCAATAATCAAACAATAATTTAGAATGGCAATTCAACAACTTCAACATTCAAACACCAATTCAGAAATTAAGAAAGAGAATGCTATTTATTTGTTCTGTTTAAAGAATGCGAGAGAAAACTACATATTGATTGATTAACACAAACATGTTTACATAGTGGCGACTGTGAATTTATGAATTTTTAAGAACATGATAAAGTAATGGAATTGCCAGTGTTTTTTTTTCGTTTTTTGGATCAGCAACAAATGAAACTTCATTAAAGAAGAAAATTTACAACAAAGATGACAAGGAGTCCTCCAAAAGAAACAAAAGCAACAGAACAAACTACACCTCACACACTACTCTGCAATCTGAAAAAATGAAAAAGAAACGGATTGCTGAAAAAGAAACGGATTGCTTTAAAAGGAGACGAAATGGAAACCCAAAAAGATGCCAAATGACAAATTCTATCCCATAATGACTCTAAAGTCTCAAACTTATCGTAAAAAATCCTAGCATTCCGTTCCAACCATATCACCAGTAAAAGTGAGATAAAAAACAACTCTCCACATCGCTTTCGCTTTCTTGTACAAGTTGTCAGAGTCAGCCAACAAATATCTACCAATTGAAAATGCTGGACAAACCAAGAATAAATTATCCAAAGATTCCTCATTCCTCGTGCACATGATACACCATTGAGGACAGAGATTGCGATTATGGCTGGTAGACTTGGTGAATATACCATTGATACACCACTTGGTGGACTCTTCATCCTGTTTTAGTACCCTTCATACTTTTTTTCTTATATATATATATATATATTAACCAAAAAATTGTTTATAATCGAAAGGGAAAAAAAGGCTGACCCTGGCATAATCCTACAGTGATTTGAATTTCACTCAGTTTCTTCCATTGATGATCTAATTGTAGTACTAGTCACAACTCCGTCATATGTGTTCTTTATCACAAAAATAAACGCTTTTGTCACTCATTTTCTCCCCGACACCTTTCATATATTTGTCCAGACACTTGTTATAAGCTTTTTTCAAATCTACGAAAACCATTTGAATATCTCTCGTATCCTCCATGTACTCCTCTGTTAATCTCCACCTCACTAAGTTCATTGTTTCCACATGTCGAAATTTTTTTATTATTTTATTATTCCTAAAAGGTCATTATTGTAATATTTTACAGAGAATATTATTATAAAAAAAATAAAAAAATAAAAAGAGAGAGAGAGAGAGAGCCCTAATACTTTTTTCTCCCTTCTCCACGTAACGCCTCTCTTTTCCTTCTTCTCCCTTCCTCTCTTCCCTCATCTCTTCTCTTAATCTTACATTACAGGTTAGTCTCATCAGGAGTCCTCCGAGACTGGTCAATTGCTCCCTGCAGTAGAAAAAAGTGAGGATGTAAAAATAATATATACATATAAACAGCTCTCCAGGGTCAACTTGAGATGCTAATTCTTCCCCTATTTATTGTTTTTCATTCAGGTATTGGTTGTTGACTGTTTGCTTTTTGAATTTTTTTGGGGAGTTGGTTTGCTACATTTTTGTTCGGAAGTGTTGTTGCCTACTTTTTTGGGGAAGTCAGGTCTCTAGTTTGCAGGACGGCAGTTTCTAAGCCTCTATTTCTGTGATTTGCTCCCACATTAGCAGCTTACTACTGCAGAAAATCTCCTTTAGACTTTTGGTGATCTGATTTTTGCTTGGAGATTTTGTGTTAGCCCAAGGAAAGTGTAATCACTCAACAATAAGCCACGGGCCATCAAAATTCAACTGACAATCCTACATTGCAGATTACAACAGTGACCTCTCAACAATCAGTCACGGGTCATCAAAATTCAAAGGATAATCCTACATTGCAAATTACAACAGTGAAGTTGAATGGGCATAATTATCTACCTTGGTCTCCATCTGAGAAGTTGTTTATCAAGAGTAAACGGAAAATGGGTTACATTACAGGTGAAATCACAGCCGCAATCTTTAGTTATGTCTTGGCTTTTGAATTCATGTAACCAGAACTCAATAATGGATATTTGTTTATGGATACAGAAAAGGAGGTTTGGGATTCACTTGCACGGACTTAATTAAAGAAAGGTAATATGGCACAAATCTGAAATGTCCAATTCAAAATAGTATGCAGGGGGATTCTTCGGTAGCTAAAAAGGCATTGTTGTAACAATTGTCAGATGCACCCCGTGGTCAGTGATTGGAAAGAAAGCCCATGATGTTTTTGTACTATGATTGAATGAAAGATCTACACATTCGAAGCATCTTTTTTGTCTTGAAACGGTAAATCTTATTTTGATGGGCATCTGTAGCCCTTTCTTTTGAAATCCACTCACTACTCACATTGGGAATTGTATAACTTAAATTTGGAAGATACATTTGGGCATGTATTAATTACCGTGGATGATTATTTCTTTTTGTATTATGAAATGCATGGATTTAAAATTGCTTGTATGTCAACAGGGTGGTTTTGCTAAGGCCTATATGTCTGTTGGCCCAACTTACTGTGGGCATGCCATTGAAAATTTTCTTTAAACATTGGATCTAGTTTTGACCAAAGAGTAAACCTTCAAACAAAAGTTACTTTTTTTAGAAGAATGACCCATGTTCTACACAATTCCTTAACATAAGAGGATCATTTGACTTTTATATACTCTTAAATTGCACACAAGGCAAATTACTTTGATTGTTCAACTTCCTTCAAACCGCTCACATGGCATTATCAAATAAATACATCTTTTGCATAATGTTTTAAAAAACCCAGGCGTGACAGTACTCTACCACATTTTTATACAAAGGAATTACAAGGAAGAAATTATGTTCAATAACAGCTGAAGCGGAAGGCCACCGTGATGTTCCGATTTGGAGGTCCACCATATGCTGTAGTGGAGGAGCAGGGAATAGTGATCGTGCCCAGTGGAGTGGGAAACACGGAGGCAACACCGTCAAGGGCAGCCCAGGACGGAGGCAAGAAGAAAAGACCGGCGGCAGAGTAGAGAAGAAAAATCCCGCCTGTGGATGTGGGTGTTTTGTTTTGTTTTTTTGTTTTGTTTTGTTTTTTTTTTTTTTTTTTTTTTTTTTTTTTTTTTTTTTTTGTTTTTGTTTTTTTGTGTGTGTGTGTTTGTTGTGTGTAATGGTGATCGGGGTTGATCCCTGAGATGAAAAAAAAAATGACAAGTTTGTGGAAAGGAAAATCGAGGTGATTGTGAATGGATTTGTTTTTTTTTTTGGAGCATCTCTGCTGTGCTACCCCATCATCAGTCTCACATAATAAAGGAGGAGAGAGAAAGTGGGTATTGAAATTGGGGGAAGTGAGACCAACTAAGGTTTATAATAATGAAAATAAAAGTTGGGCGGTGGATCGGTGTGATTAAAAAAAAAAAAGGAAGGAGGATGAGAATAAAAAAAATATATATATATATAGATGTAGGAAAAGGAAAATAAAAAAAAGAAAGAAAAAAGAAAAATAATGTGTCAAAGTGAGTGGAGACAGATTGCTTAAGATATTATCCAGAAAAGTGATAGGAGATAGGAGGAGAGAATGGGAACAAGCCCTAGAACACCCCCACTATTGCAGAAGAGTTGAATAGCTCAAATTCAAGAATGCCAGACTCGCACAAGCTGAGTAAAGAACAGGAAGATAAAGGGTCGTAGCTTCCTATAAACCTGATAGGGTGTGCAGATTTTTTGCAGTGGCTGAATGCACTTTCAAGCGCTACATACTGGCGCGGTGCAAGTTCTTGTTGAAAGTTTCCTGTACCAAGCTCCATCAACTGAGGAGCCCGTACAAGTAGCCTCTGTAATTGTTTCAAGTTGACATTCTTATTGACCTTCAAAACACTTAATGACTTGCACCTAGTAACAAGTCTCTCAAGGGCATCAAAACTGACATCACTGTGCGGGCTGGAGAAGTTCAGTACTTCTAATAGGTGAAAGGAGAGAGATCTGCCATGGAAGAAGCTATATGTATTGATAGAGATGACAGCGGAATAGGTTGAGGTCCGGCGGGCGGCTAAGGTGAGGTTGCCGCCCGCCGGTGAAGCGAAAAATACTAGGTTCTAAACCCGCTCTGATACCATGTTAGAATTCAAAGTATAAAGAGAATTGTATTATTGATTCATATATTGATATATTTATTACAATGATTCATGATTCCTATATATAGAAGAGGGTGAGTGTGTAGTAGGTAAGGAGTAGGTGAAGTGGAGGTGGTAGTGGTGTAGTGGGTTAGGTTTAGTGGAGTAGGTGAGGTGGTAGTGGTGTAGTGGGTTAGGTTTAGTGGAGTAGGTTTAAGTGGGTGAAGTAGGTGATAGGTTTTAACATAATAGAAATATATTCCTTCTTCCTCATATTTTCGGAGTTCTTCTTCCTCATATTTTCTAAGTGAATGGGCTGGACTGGACTAAAACAAACAAAATCACATACAGACCACTATAGGAGCATAACAATCAGATTAATGGGTCATCTATGGACCCAAAAAATAAATCAAATACGGGAAAACGAACCTCCAATCAAAACAAGTGCTAAACTGTGTTCAAGAAAGTGGAGAGAAAGAAACTTGAGGCAACAGAAGATGGACAGCCCTCAAACACTCATCCACAAGAACCGAAATACACAAAGAGAGGCTAGGACAGCTCTCACAAGGGTCAACTAGGCCAGAGGGGCCTTCGGGTAAAGCCGAAACAACTTCGTGAAATCTTGGCTGGTTCTGATAGAGACTCAGGGACCAACGATGGAGGATGGGTGGTGATAGGTGATGGATGGTTGGTGGCAGCGGCTGTGTGGGTGACGGTTTTTAGGATTTGGGCTCTAATACCATGTAATTTAAGAGAATACAAAGCTTGGGTGATGATTATGATATCATCACCTTTTATATTAATCAATCAACTGTTACAAAAGGAAGTCCTAAGGCACTGATTAAGGAATCACCTTTTATATTGACTAATTAATTGATTGACTGATTAAGGAATTACAATCAATCAATCACAATCTAATCTAAATAAGGAAACAAGGAAATATTCTAACAATTTACTCATTTATTCTCTCGTTTGCACCGATTGTCTTGTCCTCATAATGTTTCTATTGCCTCTATGGTTTCCTCTTTTTCTATGTCTATTTCTTAGGATTTCAACTTTTGTCAAAAATTTTAATGATCACGAGGCTAATGACTTGCTTCTTTATTATTTATTATTGATGGTGTTTCTTTGAGACATGCAAATGTTGATAAACAAGCATAGAGTATTCAGTCATTTGGGGTATTCTCTTAAATCCTTTTAGATAAGATTATTGATGATCAATTGTACCAATGTACCATTCTTTGGCCCTCATGAGATAACTTGGAGTGCAAATGTGCCACTTAGAGTATTTGCATTAACTATCATGATATGATTCAAATAAGGAGACTTAATTATTATATGCATTGTCTTGTCATTTTGGCTTTATGGTTGAGATTGCTTCAATTGGCAGAGGTGGATTTTGTGTTACCATCATCTTGTGTTCGAATGTTATTTGATTGATTGTATGGGCTTTTTTTGGCCTTACAAGGAAAGCTCAAATTCTTCGGAGGCATATGATTTGTGTGGTGTTGGGGGTAATATAATCAGAAAGAAATGCAAGAATATTTGAGGAAAAGTTCAAAAATATAGCAAGTTTATGGGAAAATTTTGTATTCGACTTCTTTTTGGGCGTCATTATCACATGTTTTCAATGGATTTCCTTTGTTTTTTGATTAGTAGAGATTGGAAAGTTGTGTTCGACATGTAATTTTGTTGTCTTATTCCTTTTTCTTTTTTCTTTTTGGAGGACTTCTCGTCCCCTTTGTACTCTTTTGTACTTCTGTTTTACTCTTTATTTAATAAATTCTCTTTGTTGCAAATCAAACAAGAAATGTTCAACTACACATGTTGAACACATAACACATTTCCCATGAGAGTATCTAGAGGGAGAAAGAAGAGAAAAGAGAGAAAGGGAAATTCAACATAGGAGCTTAGAGCCTTAGAAATGCATTTGGAAAGCTTGAATTTGTTGGATTTTCGAACTGTACAAACAGACCCCAGAACCACACATGCGGGGCTCACAGCCGCACGTGCGAAAAACAAGGGAAGCACTCGAACATTCTAAAATAAAAGCACGTGCGGCACATCTTTCCGCACGTGCGGTGGGGTTCTTCCACACGTGTGGGGAACAGGGAGAAAAACTGCATCTTTTTGTAAATCTTTTCGACCCTCTGAATTTGTTAATGTGTATGTTTAAGCCCTCTAAAATGCTTCAAGATAAATAGAAATTGAACGAAACGGAAGAATGATTAAAGAGAAGTAGCTAAGAAAAGATGAATTGCTGATCAAGTTGTGTGTGTGCCATGTGTATGTCACTC